TTCATTGACGTAAATCAGTTTCTAGATTATAGACATCAAACTTTCGATGGTATCCATTTGAATGAAAAAGGTAAATCTAAATTAGTAGAATACATTTGTAAATATTTTTTGCTTAATTGTAATCATATCACTTTTAAATCTACCCCAAATTTAACATTCATTAATTGCAATGCTACCAATAATTCTTTTTTAGATACCAACGATCAAATAGTTTCAACGAGTTGAGTAACAGTTCTTTCTCATATAAACGTATATGCGAGTTTTTTGCATATTCACATAATTCATTACACTTCTTACATCAAAATATTCAGTGCATGGCAAATAAAATTTTAGATCTAGAGCTAATCACAAATCATTGCCCATTTGATTTTCTCTTACTCACTGAGCATTGGCAACGGCAGGAGAAAATACATCAATTGTCAATAGTAAATTACAGTTTAGTATCATCGTTTTGTCGTGGTAAGAAAAAAAACGGCGGAGTTGTTATATTGAAAAATAAATCATGTGGTCTCTTAACAAAAACTTTAACAACCCCCACCCGACCTTGTGAAGGTATCTTAGAATTTTGTGGCATTGAGATAATAGGATTAAACTTAGTGGTTATTGCGATTTATAGGCCACCGAGTGGAGACGTTAACGTATTTTTAAATCTGCTTGAACAACTCTTAAGTGAAGTCTCGACCCTAAATAAGTCTTTAATTATAGGAGGCGATTTTAATATTAATCTCTTAGACACAAACAATATATATTCAAGCTCGTTTTTAGACATTACTGCTGCCTTTGCTCTGTTACCAACTCTAACAGAACCTACTCGTGTTTTTAAGACATCTGCAACATGTATTGACAATTTTTTTATTACTAAAAATCTATATTCGTCCACTGTCCTTAATATTAACCTAGACCTATCATATCATAATGCTCAGCTACTTAAAGTTTCTAGTACTCGAAATGTTGCCAAATTAGATAATACATTTAGACGAAGGAAGTTTTCCAACGTTAATTATAATCGTTTTTGTAATTCATTGCTATCTGAAGAGTGGAATGAAGTTTATGCGCAATCTACTTCGGATGATGCATTTAATATATTTTTTAAGACATTTAAGTATACCTTCAACGAATGCGTTCCTTTAACAAAATGTTTGCCGAATAAAAAGAGTACGTGTCCTTGGATAAATATAGTGATCTACTGAAACTTAAAAAGAAGGTTATAATGTTTAGTGATTTATCAAAACTACACATAGGATTTAAAGAAGCTCACCGTTACGTTCATAAGTTGTATCAGACGCAACTTCTTGTTGCAAAAAAAGCGATATTATAATAACAAAATTTTGAATTCTAATAACAAAACGAAAACCACATGGGATATTGTTAATAGCCAATAGAAATAATACTAAAGGAACCCAAATACAAATTTATGACAGAGGCAGTCTAGTGAATAATCAGGAAGCTGCAAATTTGTTTAGTGTTCATTTTACTAAATTATACACAGACAGCAAATCAAATTTAATTCATTCTGTGCCGCAGTTGTCTGTAGCATTATTCCTTTGGATATAATCTCTATTATTTATGCGCTTAAATCGTCTTTTTCATATGGTTGTGATGAAGTGTCTTCAAATCTTTTAAAAAAATGCAAACATGCAATTGCGAGTCCACTGTGTTTTATATTAAATCTTATTTTTGTGACCGGAGTGTTCCCAACGCAACTTAAGTGTGCTCTGGTAAAACCGCTGTTCAAGAAGAATGATCCACACTACATTAATAATTATAGGCCTATAAGCTTATTATCGAGCTTCTCAAAGGTTTTTGAACATGCCATTAATTCACAATTAAGGGACTACCTTTTACGTTTTGATATTATTAATCGTTTTCAACATGGATTTGTAAAAAATAAATCGACCGACACCGCCTTGTGTGAATTTGTTTCGGAAATTGTTACAGCGGTAGACAAAGGAATTAGCACTGTGGGCTTATTTATAGACCTTTCATCAGCTTTTGACACGGTGAATCACAATTTACTACTAGAAAAACTGTACAAATATGGCGCCCGTGGGAATGTTCTAAGTTTATTTGAATCATATCTATCAAATAGAACTCAAATTGTAGAAATGCCATCGGGGGAAAGAAGAACTTGTGTATCTGTCACATCTGGAGTTCCACAGGGTTCTATCCTGGGTCCAACCTTGTTTGTCGTATTTGTGAACGATTTTCCATCATTTATTTCTGGTAAATGTAAAAGTGACGAAATATTTGTAACATGTTACGCGGATGATACTAACATCCTAATTAAATCTAGAAATAAAGAATCCTTGGCAAATAAAACTCAATTCATTTTTGATAGATGTTGTACGTGGTGTAAAGATAATCAGCTAATTATTAATCATAGCAAGACTAGTGTTATTCACTTTACGCATACTCGAAATCCTGCCGGTGTTATTTCAATTTTAGGCCAACCATGCGCTTCGTCTACCAAAATATTAGGACTAACTCTTGACTCTCACCTTCGTTGGTCCCCGCATGTAGATACTGTCTGCCTGAAACTTCAAAAATGTTATTACACTCTTAGTGTTTTAAAAAATATATGTAGTCGTGAAGTATTATTGATGGTATACCACTCCTACTTTCACTCTCACGTGAGATATAATATTATCAATTGGGGCTATTGTCATAGTGTGGAAAGAATCCTGAGGCTTCAGAAGCGTGCAATACGCATAATATGCAACTTAGGCTACAAACAATCTTGTAGAGAATACTTTAAGGAGCTGAAAATCATGACTGTGGTGAATACTTACATATTGGAAATTTGCTCATACGTTTACGCACACAAATCAATTTTCAAAACCGCTGATCATACCTATAACACTAGAAATAAAAAATTAATACAAGCAACATCCCACAAGACATCACTTTTTGAGAAGAACTTTTGTTACAACGCAACTAAAATTTTTAACTCGCTATCATGTTTTATTAATACATCCTCGAAAAAAATAAACTATAAACAAAATTTAAAAGAATTATTGGTGTCAAATTGTTTTTATAATATGGAGGAATTCTATCAATTTGTAAAACCTTAGTTTAAAACGTATTTGGCTTATTGTAAATCTTTTGACGTTTATTTTAGTGCTTTCGCATGAACCGCACTAAAATACTAATAAATATTATTATTATTATTATTATTAAGAGAATAACAAACATGAAATAATTATCCAATTTCTGATCGAATGACACCAATTATACCAAGTCTGTAAGTGGGTGTAGTTCCGGAGGCCCCTTTGTGACTCAGACAGGCAGAGCACACAAACAGAGACACCTGAACAGACATCAAAAACGAAAAAAGTGCACTTTTTATTTTATTTTTAACTGAAAGTGCACTAAAAAATCCTGGGAGAAGTGTTAAATATCAAAATATACTTTCAGGGAATGTAAAATTAAAATTAAAAAAGTTATTAGTTCAAAATGCAATCTATAAAATCGACTTGAATTCGTAAACCATTGCAAATAAACTTTTTTACTTTTTAATTTAAACCTTTGTAAATTGGCAACTATGTAAATCTTAGTCTTTTACTGTCTTGACTAGCCCTCACACAATGTTAATCCATTGTCAAAAGGTAACAATAAAAATTGAATTGAATTGAAATCACTAAAAGTAAATGACTAAAAAGTATACTACTACACAGGTACAGGAAAGTAGAATAAACAAACAATAAAATAAATAAACCTCTAAAACATCATTAAAATTATTCAATAGTTAGAGAATAATGTCCCCTGTTCTCCCCGGATTGTACAATTTCAAAGAGTTTAGAAAACGGCAATTGGTCTATAATTGTCTGTTGTCTGGGTCTCCTGTCTTAAAGAGGAGCTTAAGTCTCAGGTAAATGGCCTTAGGAGCTACAACAATTAAATCGATGAATCAAGAAATTAATGTGCATGTAGGTATTGTATTTTTTATTATTTTTATGTTTATAGCACATGTACTTATGTTGTTTTGTAGCGCTTTCTACAGTTTCTTTTAGAAAAACGAGTAATCCTGTTTGCTGAGATAAAGACTAACCTGCTACATTATTGAACTCACAAGTTTGTTATCTGTTTGGTATTGACCCATTGTGCAAGGGCGAAAATACCACAATTTTTGAGATCAATTAATTGACGTATAATCTGTTCTTAACAATTATTAATCATTCGCATATCAAAAGTGTTGCGTGGTGCGTTATAATAAACAAATTATCCGAGATTTCTGGTCTGTTTAGTGATGTTCAATTTGGAAAGAAACTTTCCTCCGTCTTATCGCAGCAAATAACATGTTGAGTAACTTTTTGTTAATATTCATAAAGTGTGGATTTTTCCATAAATTCGTACTCTGCTAATTCCTCCATCGGGAGCAATTGTAATTTTAACATGCGAAAATGGGCCTCTTCCTTTGATTTCCTTCTCGTACCAATGAAGACTGTCAGGCGATAGCTAAATCAGTTCTGTTATAGAAACAACGCACACTTAAAAACGTTTACCTTTTCTGCTCCAAGAACGGTCTCCCATTGGATTTTATTGATGTTATCCTTACTCGAAAGAACGTCATCTCGAATTAGTACCCCTTCGATTCGAACGGAGGCAGGAAAATTTCCTTTAAAATACTTTGTATCCACTTCCAGATGTGAGATGTACCCGGCGGAGCTTAATTTGAATACGGCCCACTCATTACCGGTTACTTTTAAAATCCCAAACTGGTCTGTCTCTAAAATAGGTGGACGATCTAGCCGTCGTGCAGTCTCCCATCCGTCTGCCATACTCATCGCTTGGTCGGGACGAATAATATTTCTGGGATGTCCGTAATGGGCATTCGAGTAACCTTTGCAAACCCCGCCATTTTTAATGGATATGAGGTCAATAATCTCATTCGCATTAACTTTGCAAATTGCTTCACCGTATATGCGCAATCGGGCAATTCCTCCGTCTGGGTACATATTTAATCGGATATGAGTACATACTTGATCAAAATTTATGGGAAAGAAATTGTGCCGGGTTTCCTCATATCCTGGACGTAATTCCGTCATTGGTAGAATAGTCGGCCATTTATCAGAGTTTAAGCTGCTAATCGATTCCCACATTTGTAACGAGGCGGCTTGTCCCATCATATCCTCATCACGCATTGGCAGAGGGGGTTCTGAAACATTTCCTACGTTATTAAAATGTTACCAACAGCAACAAGTACAACCGTTTTGCAAATTCACCGCCTGTAAGGAAAATCTAGGTGCATAGTTTCCAGTAAAAAACGCCGTATCAACATGAATTCCTCGTATAAGTCCAGATAATCCCAGTTTAATTATACACCAATCGTGACCAGGTACTCTTTTACGCCTCGTCTCCCAACCGTCCATCCACTTTCCGCAGTCCGTAAAGACATTTGGTTTGAAAACCGGTTCCTCTTGCTTTAAAAGGTTTTCGGCAGGTGCAAACCAATCGTCCGTGGCGAAGATTACTTTGCTTCCGTTCTAATAACATTGAATTAAGTAAAAACCAAAACTGCAAGGTCTCTTACCAACTCCGAAGATATTTCGTTTAATTCAGTGAACGATGGAATTTTTTTTAAAGTTGACATTTCGATGTGCACTTAAATTTAAAAGTCAACAGCCGTGGGAAGTTTATTTATAAACTACAAGTAAATCATATGATATGGAGTAGCTTATCTTTGTTTACTTACTTTCGTACAGTTATGTAATTATTGTGAACCTAACACCCCACTCCAATACAGTCTCAATATTCTAAATTCTGTCAGTTATCCCAATAACAAGTTTTTCCCACGTACTTAAATGTTAAAGGTTAATTGCTATTGTAATTCCTAATCAGCCCTGACATTGGAAAATAATTCTCGCTGATGACATTACACAGTAGTAAATTTACTTCTAATAGGATCAATGTGTGTGATCTAAACGCGATGTTCAGGTACGCTACAGCGCAGTAAACTTATTCCTGGGTATTTACCCAGAGATTAAACGAATCCATCCGGCAATGAATAAAATCTACGGTCACAGCAACACATTAATCTCATAACAATGAGACGACGAATTTATTATCAGCTCAAAGAAATAACCTCCTTGACAATCAGCAACTACGCACTGATTTCATATTATTGTCGTTCATCAATGACGCACGGGGGTACGGAAATTTACTCAAAAAATGGTGTAAATGTTACAACACTGAATTTACTCGTACTTCCAAGTGAGAGTCACTTTGAGTTTTGAGCGATCAAGCTCAAGCCCAAAATGTTGGTGACGTGGTAATATACAGGCCACCTAGTGGAGATATTTGTAGTTTCCTTAATTACTTAGTAATTGTTGCGATTCTGTCTTCGGAAAAGGATAAAGACAGAGTAGTAATGTTATTAGATTCACCATGCAGCGTTGATCAAATGTGATTGGATCGGCATCAGCACCACACGCACACGTGTTGTGGATTTGGATCTCCCTTTTGGTCGATGGATAAAACTCGCATTTTGATACTACGGATCTCCGAGACTAGTCCGAGGTGGGAAATTTCGTAATCTGCATACCTAGAAATTTGGAAACTAGAGAATCATCGCGCACAGCCACATGTCGTACGGTCTAATTCTAGAGCATGGCTTCGGATTGTCAGCGAATCTTGCTCCTGCAAAAACAAATTTTAAGAAGAATATCATTCGCTAGTAGTATTGAACATTGCAAACCGTTATTTATAAGACATAAAATTATGTCAGTTTTTTCGGCACTCATATACCTACAAGTGTATATTGCACACTTATTCAAATTTACATACGTTTATGAAAAATTCTATTTCAATAAAGGTATGTCAACAAGGTACGCTGAAAAACTCAGGACGGCATGTCATCGCACTGCTCATTTTGAAAAAAACCCAATATACATATGCACCCAAATATTTAATCACATGCCGGATAGCTTGAGATTGAAGAAATACGAAGTTATAAACGTATACAAACAAAGAATAAAAGCATACTTTCAGGCCTTTCAACCTTAAGCTTTCCGTTTATGCTAATTTAAAAAAAAATGTGTACCTTGTTAAGTTAGAACGTAGTTCAACATTGACATGTTCAATGATGGGAAACCATTCAAAAGAATAAAGACCAATGATTATTATTATTATTATCCCTATGTATCGAGATATTAATGGTTTATTGCAAATGAATTGTAAAACGAGGAATATTTAGATGTTTTGCGTCACGGAATTTTACAACCAATGTTTGTTTTCAACATCTTCCGATAGTTGCCAAGAATTGCCAAATAAAGGGTTTTTCAATAGGGACACTCGAACTTTAACAGTGAATAGCGGCCATCTTGGTAAAGCGATAGCTGTCAAATTTGGCATGAGTACTTATTTAAGTCCTGTCATTTCACCATGGAACGCTACACCCTTCAAAAACTCGTAGAAATTGTTAAAATTGATTATCAAAATCAGTGCTGCGTTCGCCTAACGTTCTGTGCGTTGCATCCAATTTATGGCTTTCATGGCCGTCCTGCAGAAACCACAATGCGTTGTTTAATAAAAAATTTGAGACAACGGGGTCAGTGATTGATGAAGCAGTTCCCGGGCGTCAAAGAAACGCACGATCGTTGGAGAATATTATTGCCGTTCAGAACAGTGTGCGAGAAAACCCCCGACAGTGCATTCTGCGTCGTGCGCAAGAACTGGGTCTTTCTGGGACGTCAAATTGGCAGATTTTGCACCTAGACTTGAGTATTCATCCATATAAAGTTCAGTTACGCAGACAAACCACGGTCAATTACTGCCCTAAATGCCAGCATAATTTGAGTTCTTTGTGAAATTGAGCCCAGTTTAAGCGAAGATTTCCAAAATTGGTCCACCAGAATATAACATGCAGAGCGGAGTCGCGGGGGCCAATGGCTGAAATTATTTTCCATACATGATGTCATCGAATATCCTTTAAAATATTATAAAATTTGTGGTAATATAACTTGAACAGGTTGTTTTATTTCATTTCAAAGTTTGAACGTTCTTAATGAAAAACCCTTTACTTGCACCGCCACTTCTCGACTGCGATTTCCATAATTCCTGTAGCGCCGTACAAACTTTCCAATGTTTTTCATGGCAAAACGCCAACGTTTCACGTGATCAAAGAGACAAAAAACGAATGAAGTCAAATCCGGGATGCAAAGATGCCCCACTGAGAATGCTGTTCCTTCCAATTCCACGGGTTTTGTATTAATTTATTGAAAGAATTTTAGGACAATTACCATCTCGTGAATCTCGTCGTTGTTTGTAATAGAAATTTCAATTAGTTCAAATTTCGCATTACTAGAGTCGGTAAACAGAACCGAAGACCAACTTTAGCTGAACCAGAACAGAGAAACCACGTTCAGGCTGAGGTACACACTGTCCCGTCTGTTTTCTTAGTTTACTTGTGAAATATGTGTTTTGGTATTTAGTAAACGATAAACAACAACAAACGATTTCTAATCCAAGCCATTGCACTTTTAAATAACGTGGTTGTATGATTGTTCTCAATGTAAGTAAGGTAGAAGAATGGCTCAAGTCAAATAAATTGCTAATGAATAAAGCTAAAAACTCAACATTTGGTATTAACCCTTAAACGAACCAAAGTATTAAGCGAACGCAGAGAGCTTGGGTTATTGGGCGTAACACTTGATTCGGAGTTGAAGTGGGACCAACATGTTAACGTTCAGCGTGTTAAATTAGCTAGAGCACTATTTTTGATTCGCAATTTAATAAGGGTGACTACGAAGGAAACTGTTATGGCAGCATACTATGGCATATTTCATTCGGTATTATCTTATGCAATTCTTGTATGGGGCCATTCTGCCCACTCTCGAGTATTATTTGGTTTGCAGCGCAAATGTATACGATTATTAAAAAACCTTAAATACAGAGATTGTTGTCGTCAGGGTTTTATCGAATTAAATATATTGACATTACCTTCACAGAATACGGCCTTCTCAGAATAGAAACAGCAATGTTACAAATTTGTATGGTATTTTGGCGGACCCTGGTGGGTGTGCTGTGAACTAAAGCATCAAAATCAGAGTGTCGCCATCTGGTGACCAGCTTCTAAAGTCATGAAGTAATTTCCCCAATTCGATTTAAATCATAAATATCGATAAAGAATACACAGTTGTTAAATTAAAGTGTATTTAGATATAATCACATTACATTATTTAACACAGAGAACTTAAGTTACACGTTTACAAATTACATATAAAACTCAGAAGTGAGTGGAACTTACGCTTTGTAGATGTTAACACTTTGCAGAAAGATCCTTACATACCAATTTGTCGTGCGAAATATTTGGTTTTAATTGCTGTTTGGACTAAATGTTTGTTAAAAAATATCTTGAGAACTAAATTTTTTTGTTCCAAGAGGTAATAAAACCGATTCAGCAAATTGTCACACAAGTTTTTGACAAGAAATGTTAACTTGATTCTGGTGCTTACTTGTTACTTGAGAAGCGAGGGTGGAAGTTGTTGAATTATCTTAAACGAATTTACAATATAAGTATCTACGTCTATATAAATATAAAACTCAAGTCTACACCTTTTTGCACCTATACCGTTGGTAATTTATAAATTCGATACCTTGCATAAATAGGAGAGAGAAATAACAGCACATTTCAACCCTCTTCGCGTTTCAAGCACAAAACAATCTGTTTCAAAATATGGGAAACGATGCCTTTTTGATATTTTATCGTTACAATCCGCCACACAACACTTTTTACGGTCACATAACTTGTACATATTTTAAATCTTTCAAAAGTCAAAATTGACATGTGTAAAACCATGTGTACGTACAAAATCGACGGTAAAAATATTTCCTGTAACTAGCAAAATTACAGGTTTTGTCAAAAAATATTTGAGCCTGCGATAAATAGTTCTCCGTACAACCACGGGAAACGCTGTAATCAGTGACATTTATGTTTCTGTTCTGTGAATGTCTTATTCTGTGATTACCTTGCATCTACATACAGCAATGTTTAATATATACTAAAGAACACATGACTACACTAACTGTAAGCACGGATATTCATACTTACAATACAAGGAACAAAGAGAATCTTTATATACCGTTTCATAGATTAAACAAGACCAAAGATGGCACTACATTTTACGGCATGAAATTTTTCAGTGTCTTGCCAAAACAAATAAAATATTTAGAATTTGCACGCATTTGAAAACTGTGTAAATAGTTACCTTAAACGAAAAGCTTTTTATTCTTATGAAGAATTTTTAAAAGATAAATTTGATAACATTTAAGTTTTAAAAGCAACAGTACCTTGTGTGATCATGTTCTCGTGTCCTTTGTGTGTGATGACGTGTGAAAATACTATTGTATAGATCACAAATAATAAAATGAAATGAAATGAAATGAAACAATAATAAATGTGATGATTCAAGCAAAAAATACTCATTTGGGTGCTTATAATAATGGCATATAAAATAGAATGAATAAATAGAAATTATATTTCTAAGAGAGCCTATACTTTTACTTGCAAAATTCTCGTAAGCGCCCCTTCATACTGGTCTGTTTAGCAGCGCCGCATTGCATCCTGTCCTGCTGCTCCGCTGCGCTGCTAAGTCACCCAGTGTGAAGGAGCACTTACGAGCATTTACTTTGAATTTTGCAAGTATAAGCATATGCTCTCTTTTATTCATATGGGCCAATGACGTGTGAGTTGATTTTAAGCTCAAATATCGCATTAGTAGACTACGTAAATGCCATATTTGTAATAAACATTCGTTATACCCATGGTATAATAAAAGTTATACCTAAATTTGCACATGCACAAATATGGACATGTTGTTAAGTTAAAAATGGCAACTTGTGTCTCCTATACAGGGTGTCCCTAAAAGGTCTGTACAACGCGCTACCATGGGTTCTTGGTATCAAAATAGGACGATTTATCCCAACTTACCTCTATCCAAAAGTGCTTCGGTCATATATATAAGAGAAGTATATGGATAAACGAGTGGACACGCCTATCGCCAACGTTAGTGGATGGAAATATACTTCTGTCATTAGTTGGAACTAGGCGCTAATGCGCTTGCCTGTTATTATGTAGTGTTATTTACCAAGCATTTACTCCAGTTTGACATAACGGATTGAGGTTAAATTGTTTGTTTTGTTTATGAGTTATTGAACTTTTGTTTAATTTTAATAGTAAAGAAGCCTTTCGTAGTTATATAAATCAGTATACGTAGGTAAGTGATACACAATAATTGTAAAGGAATACCTAATGTTTGGCAATTTTAGTGTGTTCATTAC